GAGTAGTCAGAGACAAGTGATCTCAGGTTTGCCTGCAAACACAGAAAAGCTCTGCAGGTTGCTGTGGGCAGGCATTTTCCAAATACTTGCTCTGATTGATTGTTCCTGGAGATGATGTTAGCAAAGAACATTTCCTGTGGGACCTAAGCTGTATGTCTTAGCTGGCTGGTGTAAGTAAATAGCACTTCTTGCCTCAAAATTCAGTCGGTAATCATTTGGACCGAAGCTCTTTTTAAGCCCTACTTACATAGTACAACTGTAAGGGCATTTTAAGTTTGTAACTTGAGGCAGCAAAGCTTTCTGTTAGAATGCATATCCTGGATGCTTAATGTTATATGTGCCAATATGCTGTCAGTACATTGTAGCTAGTATTTAGTTCTTTGGAGACTATCAGCTTCTTGCTTGTGCATCTTTATAATTCATCTGTCATAATTAATACATAGAGAGATTGTCCCTACTGCATACTGTTAAGAAAGCAACTATTCAAGTAGCCTGGTACCAGAGCCATTCTAGAAATAAGCTGTTTCTAGAAGTGTTGCTCGCTGTGGGCTAACGGTGGCTCCCACGGACGCTGTTCCTTTCCACAGGTACCGGTTTGACCCACGGCTCATGTTCAGCAATCACGGTGTTCGGGCTCGGCGGTTTTCTGCACGGTCCTTGTGAGGCCCTTCAGAGCCTCTTGCGTCGGCTCCTGCTGAGCAGTTTCTCCAGTGACTACAGCAGGTCTGTCTCTCTAACTCTCGCTGATCGCAGCCAGAAGACTTTTAATGGGCTATTCAAACCCTGTTTGGAAGAGAAACCCTTGTCTTTAGCTGGTTGCTGTGTGCAATATGTATATTTTACAGCTGAACTCTAACTCTAAATCGTTAGACACAGCTGATCTGTCTTGCTCAGATAGTTGATTACCACCTTTGTCTTTTAAGTACCTTTTCATATCACAGGCACAGAGGTGAACCTATGCCTATGAATCCAAACAGTTTATTTTGTTCTAAAAATTAATAAATGCATATTTGAGTTGGGTTAGATAGGCAGGTGCTATTGCACAGTAATGCTCACCCACATTCAGTGTCAGAGACTTTCTTAAAAGCTATGTTTAATGATAGGTTTCCTGTGTCGAGCTCAAAGCTGTTAATGACAATAGCAAACTAGCCTAAAATAGCGTAGGAAAGCGTTAGTCAAACCCGTAGGATCTGACTAGCAAGTGTCTTGTGCAGAATTAAAATCTGTATGCTAAATACTCTCTTTCAAAGAGACCACTTCAAATGAGACCAATGAATTTTGTAGGACAGCGTTGGTAGCTTGCAAACAAGAATGTAATTTCAACCTCCTTCTAGTTTGAAATGCTGGAATGGGTTACTATGGACTACTGAAAAAACTCTTAGGGTTTAATATAGGCTTCCTGGTGAGTTAAACAACAGAGTGTTGAGACTAACAAGTATTCAAATAAGCGTGCCTGTGTATTGAACTAACTCTTAAGCCTGTTTTAATACATGAACGGAAGTAATACTAAAAAAAAAAATCCAGAAAAAAAACAACAAACCCACCAGGTCACCACAGTAGAGTTGATCTCTTTCTAACCTCCACATGTCTTGAATTGTCTAACATCTGATGTTGATTAGATTCTTGAAGGTAAATTATTTTGAAAGCAAACTAGCTAAAAATAAATAAATCATTGCTCACTAGGAGTTAGGCTAAGAGGGCTATTTTAGGCAGTTTAAGAGCTTCATAGAGTGTTGCTTTTTGATCGAGACCTAACTACTCAGAGCCTGCAGTAAGTGGCCTTCACACCAAAGGATTGCGTGTCAGATGTCTGACTGCAGTATGCTATCGCTTGGTTTCCCTTTGGAAGGGTGATGTCATCTTTTCAACTTCTGATTAGGCTTATCTGAAATACAGCCATCACTTGCACCCGAACTTGAGTATCTTTCTAAATCCTGAAAAACACCCAAACTCGCGTTAGCACGTAACTTCTGTATAGAGCCGTTGGCAAAACACCTCCTAGAGACCCTGAACTGCGTAGCTTTGCAAGACAAGTTCATGTTGCTTCTGGGCAAATCAGCCGTGTTACCAGGCAAACACTGTGGCACAACTATTTAGTTTTCAGCGAGTTACTTCAGCTCTTTTACCCAGATAGAGAGCAGGATGATTTCAACTTCTGTCACATAAAACCTTCTACTGAGTAATCATTAAGTAGGCAGCAAAGTATGACTCCTTCAGAACTGTGAAGGTGCATAGCCCAGTGCACAGACCCACAAACCGAGTATGAGCAGTGCCACCGTAAGAGAAGTTGAGCTTTCTTGGCTTTTAATTCTGAAGCAAAGAAGTTGTCCTTCATGTGGCTTAGGGATGCAAACTTCTGTGGTGCTCTACAGGTTAGATGTTACAGAGCTTTTGTCTCAAATCTTAACTCATTGTTTCAAATCTCTACAGCGACCAAATATTTGGAGAAAAAAAAAAATTGCTTGAAAGGTAACTTTTCAGCTGGAGCATCTGTATAAATGCAGAGGTTTTTGGATATTCAGACTACTTACATGCTTTCAAATACTCAGGACTTTTTTTTTCTTTCACTACAACTGTAGCTTTATCCTGGTTTTTGTTTCTCAAGCCTTAGTATTGCCCATCAATATCCTTCAGACTCTGTTTTTAAAAACAAAACCAAAGTTGTTTTCATGCTCTGAAGTGTTTTCTTGCAGAGCTAAACCTAAACTTCATTTACTTAGTGTTTTGCTCAGATAATTCTAGCAATTTAGACTTGTTCTTTGTTTAAACTTTATTTTGGTAGCTGTGTGGAGGCTAGCATGATGTACAGTGATTGCTGCACATTAAACCCTCAACTGTTCTATCAAATCTAGGTCATATGCCAAGTTTCTACTTGAGTTAAGTTTCAGTGCAGGTAATGTGTGATATGTTGCTGCTTAATAGAAAAAAATCTTTGTTATGGGTACAGATGTGTAACTCAACACTATCTCTTCTTAAACTGATCTTAAGCCATAACAAGGAAACTTTCTTTTGAATTATCTGCTTTCTGCCTAATAACTAATATGAAAGTTGACAGAATTGATATAGATTATTCGGTATGTGTGCCCAGAAGTTTTACCCAAATGAACACTCCTCTTATCTGCACACACTTGCAAAGCATTTTGTAACCAGGCTCAGTAACTCCCTGACTGTCAGAGAACCACACTACACCTGAAATCTGTCAGAGGTGGTAAATGCTGTATTAAATGGAAATTCAGAATTAAATTAGTCAGTCCTTACTTAACCAGAACACTGGTTCAGGAAAATACCTGCTTCACTCCCACTCTTGATAGACTT